AACCAATGAATGCATAAATAAGTGGAACAACATATCGATGTTTCTCTCTCTCTCTCCCGTCCTCTCTAAAAATCAATAAATAAAAAAGAAAATAAGGGTTCTTTTTTCCATGTAGTTACACTGTGATGGACAAGTTCACAGAAAAAGAGACACTGATCCTAATGTCACTCAAGTCTTGCAGTACAGATTGATGTGGCTGGCCCAGTTTTATCGTGTGCCTTTCCCTAGTTCTTTGTCTCCCCTTTTAACTCTACTGAGGTTGAATGTTCCATCTCATTCCTCTGACTCTAGCTAGCCTGATGCAGGGGTTGGCATCTCAGTTGGACTTTTAAGGTTCCCCTGCTTTCCCAGAAAAGATAACAGTATAGAGGAAAAAGTCACACAAGCAAGTTTCCTAATTTTCTGTTTCAGTTTTCTAATGTATAAAATGGCTGTTAGACTAATGAGGGCTGACAGTCAGAGTGTATGTACTGGTAAAACCATACCAGCTCTTAAATTATTGAAACTTCCCTATCAGTCAGTGAAAAGAAACAGCCTCAAGCCTCTAGCTGGCTCTAGACATTACCCAGCTTTCCCATGACCTTACTCCAGCATGGCTGAGTGCTGTGCCCTACTAGTCCATAAATATTTTGAATATGACTCTTCATAATTATTACTTCTTGAGACTATCATGAGGCCTAAAGAGTGTCCAGTTAAAAGAAGCTAATGAGCAGAGTGACTCAGTGGTTGAGCATCAACCTATGATCCAGATCGAGGTTAAATTCCCGGTCAGGGCACAAGCCCAGGTTTTCGGCTCGATCCCCAGCAGGGAGTGTATAGGAGGCAGCCAGTCAATGGCTCTCATTATTGATGTTTCTCTCTTTCCCTCTCCCTTCCTCTCTCTCTGAAACTGATAAAAATGTAAAAAACAAAATAAAAAAGAAGCTAATGACAGCCCTTATCAGAGCCTTCCAACTTCCAGACATGGGTCCTTAAGCTTTTTTTTTTTTTTTTTTTTGGTACTTCTGCTATGTAGCTTCCATGGTATCTGGCTCTCATCTGGCCTTCAAAGATTTTTCTTTAATCACCCAAGTAATTTTCTTTTCTCTGTTCAGTTTGAAACTAGCTGCTTCTACTATTGTTAGTTTTAAATAACAGCTTTTAAAGATATAATTCACATACTATAAAATTTACTCTTAAAGTCTGCAATTCAGTGATTTTTAGTTTACAGTATTCACAGAGTTCTGCAACCATCACCACTAATTCCTGAACATTTTCATCACTCCCAAAAAAACCCCCACATCCAGTAGCAGTCATTCCCCACTCCCCTTCCCCCCAGGCCCTGGCAACCACTAATCTTTCTCTCTATATAGGCTTGCCTGTTCTGTACATCTCATATAAATGGACTCATTAAATATGTGGCCTTTTGTGTCTGGCTTCTTAAAGTACTGTTTTCAAGTTTGGCAATGCCGTAGCATGTATCTGTATGTCATTCCTTTTTATTGCTGAATAATATTCCATTATATAAATATACCACATCTTGTTTATTGCTTCTATTTTTAAATATATATATCTTTATTGATTTCAGAGAGAGGCAAGGAGAGGTAGAGAGAGAGAAACATCAATGATGAGAGAGTCATTGATCGGCTGCCTCCCGCAACCCGGGCATGTGCCCTGACCAGGAATTGAACCCTGATTGCCTGGATCCTAGGTCGATGCTCAACTGCTGAGCCACGCCCGACAGGAGCAAAGATAATGAAGGTAATTTAGTCTTTTTAAGCTGGCATCTGGACCTTACCTTTTTTCAGGATTGAAAGTAAAACTATTAAGAATAAACTCCAACTATATACCATGGAAATTCCTCCCAATCACCAAAAGGCTTTTTTCTTCCTCTTTCAAAGCCAATGTTGATGAGTTATTCTGCCCAATAAGTTCCTGTTTTCTGTGTGAGAGTGGTTTCAACCTTTAAGCTAATTTTCGAAGGGCATGAGCTCTAGGCCATGGAGCCAGTACTATAATGTCTTCTTTCCTTACAAAGGAATGTTTTTCTAGTCTGTGTGCTATGTTTGAATATGAAAATTACTTTACAGATTTTGTATACATGTTTCTGTAAATACATAGAATATCTCTGAAGAGATACTTAAGAAACTGGTAAAAAAAAAAAGGTTGCCTATAAAAAGGGGAACAGTGGGACAGGTATGGAAGGCTTACTTTTCACTCAGTATCCTTTTGGAAGTCATTCAAAATAAATAATTACTTCATAAAGAGTAAACAATAAAAACCCTGACTAGAAGTATGAAGCATGTTTATCTGAAAGGGACATCCTGAGTTGTCACACTGACCTTGCTACACCCACATGCCTTCCTCCAGCCTTAGCACCTGTGCTACCTCAGCTTGGCTTGCTCTCCTCTTTATCTACCCCTTACCCCAATAAAATCTGACAATTTCTGTAATTTTTCAATTTACAAAGTACTTCCAGGTACATGGTCTAATCTTCAAATAAAAATAGAAAATAATATAAATATTTTTATCCTCGATAAATAAGAACACTGAGGTTGAGAAAGTGCAGCAGCTTGTCCCAGATAGCAATTATTATGCTTCAGATCTAGAATTCGAATCTACAACTTCTGTCAGGTTGAGGGTTCTGCTTTTTTTGTTTTTTAAACTATGAAATCACTTAATGAGGCAATTGGGTTAGAGTGTACAAGGATGTTTACTAAAGTGTTGTGTATTCTCAATATTATACAGTAAATATTATGCTGCTGTTACTAAAAATTATGATGCAGATCTGTATTTACCATGGAAAACATGCAAGAACCTGCCTTATCCTGCATATTGTGAGAAAAGTAAATAGACGACATAAACAAATGTACGATTTGAACAGATTCTTTTTTTAAAATATGTAAATAGAAAGAACCTGATATATATGAAAATGTTTTTTAAAAGTCATGATACTCTCAAATTTTGTATATTACTACTACTAATAAAGACATATTAAGTGTTTAATGTGTCAAATACTGGGCTAAGTCTATTTTATATTCAGTATCTCATTTAATCCTCACAATAAACAACTTGCATAAGGCCTTGCTGCTAATAATGCAGCAGAACTGGACAAGTATTGGACCTCATAGCTCATGTTCTTTGGAGCTAGATCATTCTGTCTCGTGTACAAAAATCCTTTATTTTATAATCAGAACGATCCATGAGGTTACTTTAAGAAAATTCTGGCCCTGGTCTCTGTGGCTCAATTGGTCGGGTATCTTCCTGTTTACTGAAGGGTTGTGGGTTTGATTTCTAGTGAGGGCACATGCTGGGTTTCGGGATGGAACCCTGGTAGGGGGCATGCAGGAGGCAGCAGATCCATGTTTCTCTCTCTCTCTCTCTCTCTCTGTCTCCCTTCCTCTCTCTCTAAAAATCAATTTAAAAATCTTAAAAAAAAAGAAAGGAAGAAAGAAATTCTGCCCAGGAGCATTTGAGATTTTGCTCCCTGGCATATGCTGTCAGTTTGACTCAAATAAACTCATAAAAATTCTCAAAAAAAAAAGAGAAGGCTACCCCAAACTTCACTTCTCAGACCTCTGCACTCCCATAATAATTTGTATCTCTTATAGCATGTAAGACAATCTGATTAGTGCATAATTGGTTGGGTCCCTTTATTTTCCTCTTCTAGATCCTATGCTCCTACAGGCCTGAAAACCAAGTCTACTTTCTAGCCCAGGGCTTTTTTCATAGTGGGGGTTAGTGCGGGGGAGGAACAAACTTTCCTATAGCCCCAAGATTCTTCTGGCTGGTCTAATAATTAAATAGACACGAGACAGATTAGCAAGAGAAAATTACATTTAACACATAGGTATGTATGGGAACCCCACTTACATGGGAGAGTCAGAGTCCCTCCCTCCCCCCTGCAGGACAGGTTCAGAGATAGAAAGGGAGAGTGAGGTGTATAAGACAGGGATAAGCTAGGGATGAGGTAAAATAATGCCTAGGGGTCTTCCAAGGGTCATTGCAGGGTAAGAAGAGCAGATATTTAGTAAACATAAGCTTCCGTGCCATATAGGTAGGTGGCTCAAAAAGGTTATCGCTGATAATCTCTTATTATGGACAAGTACAGTAAGTTAAGATCTAGGTAAAGAAGTTTGTCTTGAGCCTGAAGCTAAAATTGCCCTTAGATCAACAATCTGCATATCACAGAAGCATATCTTTGGGCAGCTCATTCTAAAGCCCACACACTAGTTAATCTGAAATACGCTCTCAATTTGGCTCAGAAAAAACCTGAATCAGGATTAGTGCTCACAAGATATTGTAACATAAGACTGTTTATACCTGTGGAGAGTTTTTATGAGTTTGAGCCAAACTGCCAACCTGTGTCTCTGAGCAAGATCTCAAATGCTCCAGGGAATAAGCTTCTTTTATGCATCTGATTAAGGCGAGAACTAAGGAAGTTTACAAGGCTGTGGGAGAAAGCACTGCAGGGACTGGATTCCAGGACAGTTAACAAGATTACTGCTTATTTCAAAGGTGTGTTAACCTAGTTGCAGAGAAGCAACCGACAGGGCTTGCTTAAGGCAGATACAAGCCTTTTACTAAAAAGTTACATGCCTGGCGTGTGACTACCCACCATGACCTGTCCACTTAGGAATTTATGATCGGCTCACCCTGTGAAGTTACTTCTCCTTTTTTCCTCCACAATATTAATTATTTCTTCCCAAGAAAGTAGGCTCGGCTAACACAAGGCCTCTGTTTCCCTGCACCTGGTTTCCTTGCTTGCACCTTCTCTATCTTCTCTCCCTCATCGGTCCTCTCCTCCCACCTGGGCTGGTGCCTAAGCGATCCCTCGGTCACAGGCCCTCCCAAGCCTGCCAGGGACCCGGCTCCTGCGCTCAAGAAAGGAACAAGGAGAGGGCCCGCAACCGCCTCCACGTGGGCACTGCAGCGGCCATCCCGCCTCCTGGCAGGAGTGGGTTAGGGCCTGAGCAGCAGCAAGACCGGGCGGAAAGGGGAGGGGGCTGCCCGTACTCAAGATGGCGGCGGCGGTGGGCGTGGCCAGCCGCTCCGGGGCTGCGGGGAGGAGTGGGATCATGGCGGCAGCCGAGGATCCGAGTCCCGGGGATGAGGAAGAGGAGGTAGGGGGCGCGGTGAGAGCTACGACCGAAGCCTGCGCGAGGGGCGGTGGCGGTGAGGGCCCCGCCGGCTGCGCGAGGGGGAGGGAGTCGGGATGCGGCCGGCAGCTCGGAGCCGCCTGGGCCGCCGCTCGCCCCGGGCGGTCGG